CTTCAAATCGACGTTTAATAAATATAATTCGAATTTTAGTTACTAAAATCTGAATGATTTCATATAAATCAACCTAGCATATTACGTTATTCTATTTTAATATAAGTATCATAAATATATCTATAATATATTTCACATAGTAAATAACCACTGCAGTATGTTATTTATCGATTTAGGTCTCTTGATTTCTATTTGAAAATATACTCGATATACATTTTACAAAATTCAGTTCCAATTTCAAATTGGGAAAGCTTCGAATCGTAATTTTTAAAGATTAAATTGAGATCAAAGAACAAAGTATTTTCAATCTGCAGAAGATTGCGTAGATTCAATTATATTGCTTCGTATCTTATTAACCATTTTGATGCATTAGTAGAACATCGATAAGAAACTTTATTCATATCTCAGGAAATGCTAAAAATCCGTGAAATGCTCAAGCTATTATTTCACTGTAATACTCATTCAATTATCAAAGGATAAAACGCTTTCAAGAAACAACGATTACAAGGTTTTAATTGCGTCACTATATACCATCTCATCAGAGAAAGAAAGTCATCTTCATTCATCACTGAATTACAATAAAAAGAAACATTCTTTGTTCATATTTTAGAAAATCAACATCTACTTATCAAAAGATACAGATACGTTGCAAGGGTCTATTTAAAAATTAATAAAAAAAAAAAGAAAAATGAAGAAATCTTGTAAGATTATGTCTATAATAAATATTTCTTATCTATGTATACATAGATCAAGATAAAAATCTTATCGAACAGTGACTATAGACAGAATTTCGAGAACACTTTATCTATTGTAAATATCAACATACTAGGAAGACAATCACATACTAGAAAATTATGCAAAGAGAATAAAAAGCATATCTACCCATTGTTGGAGATAGCTTCAATCTCTTCCGACAAGGTGTCATCGAGATCTTCAGCCGCGTCATCCCCTGTTACACCATCGAACGATTCATTTCTCGTGTGATCTATTATCTCAACGTCTGTATTGTTCCGATTTCCATCGATAACCTGGTGATTCGTCACGGAAGTCTCGATAAGCATCTGATCGATCAACGTCTCGTTACTAGTTGTTTTGTGCCTCTCTTCAGCATTATAGCCAGTCTGACCCTCTATCGTGTCCGGATATCGATGCAACACGTTCTTTTCGTAATAATACTGACCAGGTTTCCTCAATCTGTTATTACCTGTCTGGTGAGCCAATGGTCTCGGAATCTCGCTGGTAACTCGATTCTCTATCCTGTCGATGTCACGTTCGCCTTCGCTCACCGTGGGTTCCGTCATGATTGTCATACTGTGGGTTGTCTTCGGTGGCTGATAAAAATTCTCTGATTTATTTATTTGATGATCGCTAATCTGTTGCGCCGGTCTGTAAATAGAAGTTGAGTGAGACATTGTATTATAAGATCCGTCAGACTCTTCATCACTTGTAACAGGCCTTGCAGAGGAACTTATGTACACGGTGTCGGGATTAATGGTGCTTCCTTTGTTATTTAGGCTTGTGGTAGGTCTAATGGAAAACTCAGTTTGATAACTCGAGCCATAATCAATCTCTGTTGGCTTCCTATTTGATTCTTGATAAGGTCTGTAATGTTGATCATTTGTCACTTTGTCCTCGGTCTTCTTGTGAGAAGAAACGCTGGGCAAAGTGGTGTGTCTACTTGGATAAACTTGGTTATAATTATTTTCAGAGTCCTTTTGATAATCCTGTTGCATGTTTGAAGGTTTCGTATATCTGTTTAGATAATCTTGTTGATTACCAGAAGGTTTGCCATACTTATTTAGATAGTCTTGTTGATTACTCGAAGCATATTCGTTTTCAGTGTCTTTCAGGTAATTCTGTGGATCCTGTGAAGTATAGCTCAGCAAATTACTCGAAGCTTGTTGATTAATCAAAACTACAGGCCGATATTGAACTTTCTGCCAAGTATTTATTCTATTTCCTTGGTCATTATTATTTAACGAATTATAAACAGGCGATTGACTCTGATACTGTGAATGCTCTGACAAACCATAGACAGGTTTCAACCATGATTGACTCTGATATTGTGAATTAGGCCGCGAACTCAATTTAGATCCATGATCCTGTGGTTTATAATTTACAACGTAAGCGTTCACATCTTGAGGAGGCCTCTGAGTAGTCATCTTTTGGAAAATCGTATAATAAGTGTACAACGTTGGCCTTGGACTCGATCCGGGAAAACTATCAAACACCACCTCGCTATCGTAACCTGATCTGTACCCTTGGCTCAAAGGATTAGGATTATTCGGATCTCTGAAACTATACGGAACATAAAAATCGTTGTTAAGCATAGGATTTCCCAAAGGATGCGTTATTATTACAGGCCTCATTGCAGGAAACGTTGGGACAGTATTCTGTTGCGTTTGTTGGTTCAACGAAGGATTCACCATTATACTGGACCCATGAATAGCGTCATTCAGAAAGACAGGCGAATTAATAGCGTTATTCTGAACAACTATGGTTATGTTGTCCGATGGTCCGACAGGTTTCTTCACAACAATCCGATTTTGCTGGTGGACGTTCGTCTTCGGAGGATTTAAATTATGAGTGCTTGAATTAGCAGGAGTGTTTGCATTTGTCGACACATTCTTCTTTATTTTATCGAAGATTCCTATCCTCTTGAATTCTGGGGGTCTCTCTGCCCAGAATTGTAAATTCAACTGGCCAACGATAGGATCGTTGCAAGATATACGTTGATTCTTCAAAGTGTCCTGCGTCAGGAATACAAACGGTTGAAGAGTTTCGATATTGTCCATAGTTGCGCAAAGAACTTGAGCCAGAGTGACTCTTCGGATTTGCTGAAGCTGGCCAGGCGTGAAACTACCTTCTTGGCGGGAATTCTCGTACCAAAATCTATCTCCCCGACGTATGTTGCTAAATTGTTGTCCAATTATGCAAGCAAACGTGGGGCCAACCAGGCCACCCCTCACTGACTTTTCTGCCAGCCCACCGGTAAATAAATCAATATCTTCAACGGACGAATAGGCTGATCGAAGTTTTGTTACTGCGGTCGGCGGCATAAATCTCTCTAAATCGTCGAAGTTCTTTATCGGAGACAGAGCGCACGGTTTTCTCCATTGTACGTACGGAGGAATTCCGTGGTCCCTGCCTCGTTGAATGTTGATGGAGGCTAGATCCATCCCAAAGGGGAATGATGGCGTTTGGAAAAGATGGTTGGTTAGTTCTTCGCTTATGTACTCGTCTCTTCTCTGGGCGTTCTGGTTGATTAAACCCAGAATAAGACGATCCACTGAACCGGCTGTTTCCAAGTTTCCTGGATTCGTGAACTCGTTGTGCATGGAGACGTCTACGAAAGAGAAATTGCAGAGTTTTTGGCATTTTATTTCACACTTCGTCGCTCTCTTGGGGTTTGAAATTTTAATTACGGGATCTTATATCGTATTCCATGATTCTGTAAGATTCTGATTATAAAGATATTTTCAAAATTTACCGATTGAGATCTTCTGAACTGTTAATTATAAGATTTGTTTATATTTTACATTTTAATGTACTTGTTTAAGGTTTTCTTCCAGCATTTTATTTCATAACATAGTTGCTTAGAATCTTTGCTATTAAAGTAGAAATTTTTTGGATTTTAGTTATAGAATTTTTCACATTATATATTTTACTTTAGTTCTGTGATATTTTTGTAATTTTCGACGATTAAAATAGGAATTTCTTAATCTCAGTTATGGAAATTTTTATATTAAAATATTTCATGATTTTCTAAGATTTTGACTAATAAAATTTTATACTTCATAGTTTTTTCTAAGACTTTTTACTATTGAAGTAGACATTCTTTGAATTTTAACTATAGAGCTTTTTATATTTTACATTGTAATCAGTGATTTGCTATAATAATTGAAGTAGAAATTTGTTTATTTGAATTTTTATATTTCACATTGTATTCCACAATTTTCTAAGTTTCGTTTTATTTCATTCTGACTTCAGACAGTAGAAATTTCTGACTTGTTAAAGTAGAAACTTTAATCGTGAAATTCTTTATCTTTCAAGTTCAATCTCGTCATTTTTTTAACAATTCTGGCTAAGATTTTCATTCTACGCGATTTTCTAGAATTCTTCTCTATTAAAATATACTGACTATTGAAAATTGGTTGATGATCGCTAGTAAATCGAACGAAGCTTTGTTGAACCAGAGAGTGACCAAAGCGATAGGCAGCCGTAGAAAATCCGTTCGCGATGGTTGGATTCACTGTTGGATCGTAATCCTCGTAATAGCCTTTCTTCAGAAGTTCGAGGTCGAATATTTTCATTACATTCTGACCTGAAATATTTCGATCTTAGTTAACTTTATTTTTATATTATTTCTCAGCTTTGCAATTAATATCCTAATAATAAAAACAATCAAAGTCATATATATATGTATAATTTCTCCTAGAAATTTTATACATTTCGATCGTGTACTCGTATGCCTTTTTCTAGAGTTGTTCCAAAAATCCGTACAAACTATCAATTAAAAATTTTGCAAAAACTCTCTTATATTTAGTATATTTAGTGAAATATTTAGCAAATCGATCAAAAGCAAAATATTCGAAATAAACTTTCCTTTCAACATAAAAAAAAAAAAAAAGAAAGAAAGAAGAAAAATTATATCTCAAACGTATAAAACTAGCTGATCGTCATTGCGTTTGATATAGAAATCCACCAAGTGGTTCGAGCAAATTGGGTCTCAATTTAAACGTTCAATTCACCAAGAACAATAGGCAGGAACTCCCTGTAGGTGATATGCTGGACAATAGCGGCGACGATTCTCCGGGATTCTTGAAATAGTTTCTCGTCGCTCCAATGAGCATTCAACGCGGCAAGTTTCGTCGCGATTCTATTGTGCAGCCTCAAAAAAGCTACGTGAAGAGACGTGAGGGCAGGTTGCTCGCCAAGCCGGCCATCTCCAGCTCTGAAGCAGTTTGTGGATAACGACCCACGTCTGCAGAGATCGGAATCCAGTTTCGGTAGCACTGGCCTCTGCGATTCAATCTTCCCGTATTGTAACAAACCTGTAGATTAAATGGAATATACGACGTTAATGTGACATAGTCTACAGTCTGGAAAAAGTATGCAATGGAATAAAATTTTGCTCTTATTTGTACGAATTATCTTCGCATTTTTTTTTTTTTTTTTAATTGAACCTACTTTTCTAATTTCAACTTAGCTACTTCCCTGAGATTCGATGTACGTTTATATTCGGGTAAACTTTCGTCGAAAAATTTTATGCAAAAAGTTTTCAAATATTCCGCATTGAAAACTGAATTATCGAACTGAAAATCAAGAATTCTGTTTCCTCATTCGCTGTTGTTTAAATAAATTTTGGAAGGAAATACAAGAATTCAGAGTATGAAATATACGAAAGCCTACAATTCAAATTACAGAATTTTCATTTATTAAATGAAATCCTTTATTAAATTTTAATTGAATAAAATTGTAATAAAAATTACGATTATTAAATATAATCAAATGTATTTAATTATGATATTACACATAATGTGATAATTACAAAATAGTATAATACAGCATGACAAAATATGCGAACTATTGCCCTTAAATTAATTTATGCATATATAAATTCTTGTTACAACATAGTCTTACCATTTCGAAATAGTCGTAAAGCGTCACTTTGAAAAGCGTTGCTGCTATATACCGTCGAAGCATCCAGGTAACTTGTCACCTGTGACAATTGCTCTCTCGGGCCAAATTCGCAGTTTTCTTTCGGCGCTGAACCGCTTCGAACGAATTCTAAACATCTGACACCCAAAGGACCGAAGAAACTGTCCTGCGTGCTCACTGATATTGGTAAACACTCCGGATGCTGTGCAGATATATTTTATTTTCATAGAGCACGTGCAAACGAAGGGAAATTGAGTTATAAGGGTAGTTATGTATGTACCGTGAATTCCGGTGGCTGGAAGTCGGAGCCAAATTTCAGACAACACTGCGGTACAGTGCCATTAAACCCTCTGCTTTGTCCGGTCGCTAAAGAGAATACGAGATGAGAAGATTTTTGTGTTGATGGTACTCGCTAACTACGATCAGGAAAATTGAAATTGAAATCCACGGTAGTTTATAATTAAAGGTATAAAATCCTAGTCTCTTTTTAAGTTCCAATTGTAATTTCTTTTTTTAATTTCATTGGGAAAAAATTTACAAATCTATCGATTGTGTGAATGCTATATATATAAAATATATGTGTAATAATTTCTAGTATGTGAATTCGTACATATATATGTTATATAAGAAAAATAGAATATTAAATCTGTAGAAATTTATAATTAAAAATCTAGAACATTGATCCTTTCTTAAATTCCTTTTACTAATTTATTATAAAATTTTAAAATAATAATAGATAATAAAAGAAAATTAGAAATAAAATAACAAGATAAAAAGAATGGAATTAAAAGAATGGAATATTAAACTTATAGAATTCTACTACAATTAAAACTACAAAACTATCATTGCTGAATTTAAATAAACTTTTATTACAAATTATAAAACATTATTATAAAACATTATTATAAAACATTATTATAAAACATTATTATAAAAAATTTAATTATTAATTAATTAAAATTTAATTCAATAAAATTATTCACACT